TTGAATGTGTTTCTTTGCTTCTAAGGTGAAGGTCAATTCCATTCGTTTGTTGTTTTTTGTATATTCCTGGGATAATATCAATATTATTCTTATCAATGAATAATGTAATCTGATGTTTCTTTTAAAGGATCAGTTTGAAAATAGTTAGATATATCTATTATAAATCAAATTGGATAGAGAATAGTTGTGTTTAAGAGTAAGTTGAAAGAACCAAGATATTAGATCATACAATGAGTGGAGATGTCTTAATGACTTTGACAATGTTCACCTAATTACTAAGGGTAAAAGAGAGTTATAAATATGTGTGAAGAATAAGGATTAATATTAACAATTGATGATTTAAGGTTAAGAATTAGATTTAGGATTTTCATCATGAAGAGTGACATAAACTACAATGCTAAAATGCTTTTTATTTTAATCAAATAGGGTGAATGAATTTTGGATTAAAATCCAAGATCTTAAATCTGATTGGTTCGTTCATAAGTGATAGTTTCGTTGATCATACCATGAACTCATTGACTGTTGACCTCAGGTTTGCTAGCAGATGAAGATTATCTAGTTGAGGTTAGAATGAATAATGTAATCCATAGTTGCAGATTCTGAATGACATAATTTGGAATTAGTTATAGTGTTGCGGTTATTTCCATTGAGATTAGATGGTGGTTGGAGGTAGTCAACAGGAAACCCTGGAACCGGGTTTCGTGCTACTTGGCACGCATCAGCAAGATGTATCTGTAATCTTGGGGGAACTGATGCTCCCTGGCGGATTCGACCCCGTGTACCCAGCTTCACAGTCAGAGACGTTACCACTGAGCTATTAGAGCCGTGACTGACCTCCTGTAGGACATAGATGTAATCACAATTGATTGATCACCACCCAGTGATCAATCAATTGTGGTTATTTCTATTATTTGTTGTTTTTAGATCTCGATTTTCAAATAAACTCATCGTTTTATTCTGAAAATTTATTGCTCTTCTTCATATCACATATTATCTCCGCCTAATCTTTTCTCTTACCACGGATTATTTCTATACGCTTACATTTGTTTATCTCTATATGTTGATGTAGTTAATGGACAACTTGTATTGCTATACATGTGTTAAGCTCTATATTGCCTATGAGCCGCTGTCTGACTGATTAAGGAGATTCATTTCCAGTTTCTGTTATAAAAACCACTTCAGATCTGAGCAAATGTGAAAACTACAGAGGCGTCAAACTAATGTCGGTACCAGGGAAAATCTTCAACAGAGTGTTGCTGAACCGGATGAAAGATGCAGTAGACGCCCAACTTCGAGATCAACAGGTTGTACATAATATTTTGGTATAACTACAATCTTTAACAAATACTATGAGATTTGATAGCTTTGATTTCTTTGGTTACGTCAAGTCACTTTTACCCATTAAATCACATGTTCAAAATTTAAATCAGCTATCTGTATGGGGTTGTAGAGATCGTTGGATTTTATTAAAACCGCGAACCGATCTGACTTAGACAACCATTGAAAACCAGGAGGCACTGAAAAACTATTTTGTCCTAGTATGAGACCCCTCAGCAGTGAGCATTTCATGATACAAATAAAGATGATCGAACCGGCAAGCTTCGATCTCCTGCATGAACATATAACGTCTAGACCTTTGAGTAAGCATTCAATGTCTTCGATTGATATATTCCTCACACTGGATACTGATGAAGCCCATAGGTCACAGCTTGTCACTGGGACTCCTAAGTTCAACTCTTTGAATTTTGTCATTCAGAAATTATCATTAGCCCTCAAACTCAAATAATATGGCTCACAGCCAAGTGCGTAAATCTGTTCACAGTAAAATATCACGTCATCATCACAGATCTCCTGGTAAACTTGGTGTTAGTTTCTAAGATCTAATTGTTTACATTAAGGAGCTATTTATATTTCTAGCTTTCTCTTTCCATAGTCTATTTTATTTAGTGTATAACTTTTCATTCTATTTCACTAACTTCTCCGAAATCACAGTAGGACACTGGTAGAAGTACTATATGATTATAATACATTTTCAAAGCAGCTTCTGTCATAACTAACTTTCATATAAGGCGTTGGTTGATGATGAATAACAGGAAACTCTAGTCCTGAGTTTCGTGATATTTGCACTTACCAATAAAGTATCCTAATAGTCTTGAAGGAGAGTGATGCTACACATCTCATTGGCCATTTCAAAAAGTTTCGTAACTATGTGGTTGTCATTCGTCTAAGTTCAGATGCTGTTGAAGATCAAGAAGAAATGAACAGTTATTTCTTTATAGTCTGAAAATCCTCAAAAGTTCACTCTAAAGACTTCTCCAGGGATTAATTTCAAGCTCTCACATTTGACGCAGAACGATTAATAATTTGAATGACTGGGTCGGCATACAGTGGTACAGTTTCAACCTTGGTGAATTTAAGATATGATGTGACGATCATCCTGTTCAACTGTTTCACTCCCAGCATGACTGATTCCCAACAGTCACAATTTCTAATTAGAATTTTAGGGGCATTTCAAAGTAAACCACTTACGAAATGATCATTATAGTTTAGTTAAAAGAGTGTTTAGGGAAATGATTTGAGTTGAAATTTTCAGGAACCCATCTCATTTGAAGCACCATTAAAATAATCGTCAAAAATCTCTTTAATTAATTTGTTTCAATCAATTTTAATTTCATTATCATCATGAACCGATCAATATTATACCGCCATTGAAAACCTGAAAGCTGTAGATGGCCATCTTGTTCAATGTTGCGACTACATTACAGTACGCATAAACGATTCGGTACTCAGAAACCAAACTTAGGACCTTCAGTTTCACGTGAACGCTTAACTATTAGACACCATTAAGCCGAACCATATCTAACTTCAATCATTTCCTATTATTTCGGTTGACAACTGCTTTACATCCAACGTGGTTGAACTTGACTAGTTAAGGCTTTCTACCAGAATTTGGATTCACGCTGTTGACATATAGTATACTAGAACGAAATGGTCGTTCATTGTTTTCAGGTTCTCCATGATGTTCTAACATCGATCAATTCATGAATTCAATAAAATTCAATAGTAATTTCATATCTTGTTTAACAGATTTTTCATTGTTATTACTAGGAGGAGGAAAAGAAAGAAGCTAATGACTAGGATTATGGAATTTAACCTAATTTATGGAACTTGATGACTACAAATATAAAGAGGAAGAAATATGTATTTGTTTTTATTTTACACAATTTAATTCGCTAATCAATAGAAAAACAACAAAATATCTAGTGTATAAACAACATCATTCTTTTACTTTACTTTTTTCGTTCTTGGTTTCTTACAAAGAAACTGGACGATTATCATTTAGTTCTATATTTCACTGGTTGAAATCATGAATCAGTGGAAGCTAGATCACCATGGAGAACCTGGAAGCACTGGACCGCCGTTTCATCCTAGTATGGGACTCCTCACCAGTGCGAATTTACAATCCCGACCCCCACGAGATTCGAACCCAGGACATATCAGTCTCGCACCAGGCGCTTAACCAACTAGACCACCGGGCCGGCTGGTATCCAACGGTGTTAATGTCTAACTTCAATCAATTTACGAAGTTGCACCACCGCAAAATATATTCATCATATTGGATATATATTTAATAATTGAATTTATGAGTCAGTTGAAGCTAGACAAACATCCTAGTATGGGACTCGTCAACAATGCGCATCTATGTTCCCGCCTCGCGAGATTCGAACCCAGGACTTATCAGTCTCACGCATGAACTCTTAACCTCTAGATCACTGAGCCAGCCGGCATCCAATATTGTTAATGTCTAATTTCAACTTATCCACGAAACTGAACGACATGTTCACCATTGTCATCAGTGAGTTGCTATCTCACAACAGACCCGGTTGAATTCCACTGATCACAGCTTCTCACTAGAACTCCAAGCAATATCTCTTGAAGCCAACCACTAGTGAGCATATGATGATTATAATCAGAGAAGGGTTTTTATGGATATTATAGTAATTGAGTCAAATGAATCTTATTTATTTATTTAAACACATAAACATCGGTACAAGGAGGCACCAAATAGATATGCGCCACATAAATCATCCGATTTGTGTGAGGGCTGTGATACTGCCCAAGTGTTCAGACCGAATCAAGTGGTCTTCTTAGGGGGCCACACTTTTTTTCACAGTTATATAATATACCCTTGTGGGCCAGGGTAATTTTAGATTGGTTTTCATTAGAACCAGACTCCATCCGGACTTTCACGTGACAACCTAAACAGTACAGCTTAATCTTGTTTAGCAGGAGAACCAGACACCTTATAGGCTTTAACGCTGCAATCTGAATAGTACAGCTCAATCCTGTAGTGCAATCACACAGGTACTCAGCACCCTGATGTACCACAATTGAATCTAGGTCATCATAGGGAGCCTGGAAAGGCTAGACGGCTCTTTCATCCTAATATATCGATATCATGTTTCAACCAATCATAATCCTGTGACCTTGTCATATTTTTAAAACTAGATACATTAGTCATAAGATTGGAATGTTCTTTCTATAAATGTGTGTGTGTGTATGTGTGTTGATGGATAGACAGACATCTCCCCTCCAAAAAAAGATAGATTGATAAACAGATCAACTTTATGCTGATTGGTTATTTACATATTTTTTTTATTGTTGTTGTTGTTGTTGTTGATTGACTGACTGATTTTATGTGTCAATAATGTTGAACGAACTACCGGTTTTATTCTTTACTTTTTTTTGTTGTTGTTGTCGTCGGTTGTTTATTCTTTCTTTCTTTCTTCATTGATATTATCATCTTGAGAGAAAAGTGTTACATCATAATGGATGATGGTGGTGATAATAATAATAAAACAATTTGGGAATCATTTATTCTTGCTTTAATTTATTATGAATAATTGAGAAGAAATGAGATTTTTTTTGCTGTTATTTTGTTGCCATGACAATACCCTAGTTACTATGATTTCTATTTCATATACATCTTGAATAAAATAATGATGACATTCATTCATATTGGTGAATATTTATTTTCATTCATTTTATTCATTCAATTCTATGGAATGATGATGATGATAACTTATGGTGAAATTGTCAAGTCTAATATGATATTACATAATCATAATCAAAATAATCTCTCTACTATTTATATGATTCATAATGATACATTATTATTACATAATGATCATTTACAAAATGAATCTTTTATATTAGATCAATTCAATCATAAATCTAATGATCCTGATCCTGATCCTGATCCTGATCCGGATCCTGATCATAATCATAATGAACAATGGTATTTTCATTTTGATATGTTTATTATTACATTTTTAGGTTTTAGTTCATTTTGTGCAAATATTGGTTTATTATATTTAGATAGACGAGCTAAACCATCATGTACAACAAATAATTCAAGTTTTTCTAATAATTTCATAACAATTAATACTACTAATAACAATACTACTAATGGTAATAATAGTAGTACTAATTTTCCTATGCATAATATCGCTAGTAATAATAATAATCTAAAATGTTCATCATTCAACTTTCTATATAAAAAATGGTCACATAAAAGAAATTCTCATGGATCTAATGGTTTACTATCTAATCAATCATCAATAATAACAATACCAAATGAGACAATGAATAAAATGACCATTCCAAATACAACTACAACAAAACGTTCATTTTCTGTATCAAATCCTCCATTAAATAAATATCCATCATCAATTAGTTTATTGAAATTTAATCATTATCCTTATCATCATGGTTCAATTCATTATCATACACCACGTAGTCGTAGACAACGTCGTTATTTAAGAGGTTTACTTGGTTTATCTATAAGTAATTTAAGTTTATCTATATGTTTACTTAGTTGGTGTATATGTCAAATTATTATATATAATATTAATGAACAATATTATATATTAAATGCATGGTTAACAATTATATCATTAATTAATATATGGACTATAGATATTGCACAAACATTAGAAATTGGTGCTATTTTATGGATTGCATTAGAACGTACACTTGGTATACATTGGCCTAGTGAAATACAAACTATGAATAACAATAATAATAATAATAATAATAATAATAATACAAAACTTTCAATGAAATGTAATCTAATCCAATGTAAATTTTCATTATTAAAAAATATGTTTAAAAAATGTACATTACATAATCATTCTTCTTCTTCTCCTTCTTGTTGTCGTTGTACACCTTTATTCATGAATCAATCATCATCATCATCATCAGCCTCAGCAACAACATCACCCTTAGCAACAACAACAATAAATAAAAAATATCGTGAAAAACAAAAATCAATAATTTGGTTTCTTCGTGTTATTTTATGTTTATTACCATTAATTTTATTTATATTAGCATCAATTTATAGTTTAATGAATATAATACAACAAATTAAAAAACAGAAATTATTATATCATCAACAATTACAACATGAAATACAACAACCCCAACTCCAACTCCAACCCCAACAACAACAACAACAATATCAAATTGATATTATATCAAAACTGAAAACTACTTATATTACACATAATAGTAGTATAAATAATGATCATCATCATCATAATAATAGTTATATACAATATTTTAATTCATTAGTAGTATATAATTATTATATTTATATTACTAATAATTTCTTTACTAAAAAGCATACATACTTATTCTTACATAAAATTCATATTAAATATCAAACTTATATGTATTATACTAAATCTATTATACCAGCATTAATCATTGGACAATTTTTAGCACCATTAGCGATTTTAATTACAACAAATTTATTGATTTATCAAAAAGTAAGTTTTCTTTTTGTTTTACTTTATTATTTGTTGAATTGTGTTGAACTATTTCATATACTTGGTGTTCACAATTGATTGGTCACTGGATGGGTGGTGGGTGAGTAATTTCATATGTGTCAAATCGTTCTTAGTGTAAATCGAATGCTATTGACCAAGTTGTAATGTGGCTACTAATCTAGATGACTTGATATTGTGTGCATTATGTTGAGATAGAATGGTAGTTAGAAGTAATCAGCAAGAAATCCTGTGTGATGTGTACCTGTAATCTTGAGGGAACTGATGCTCCCTGGGAGATTTGATCCTATATCACCCAGCTTCACAGTTAGAGATGTTACCACTGAACTATCCGAGCCGTGACTGACCTTCTGTAGGACTGTGATGTATTCATAATTGATTGATCACTAGGTGGTGATCAATGTCATGTGTGTCAAGTCCTTCGAATCCGTCAGAGAGCACCAGTTCCCTCAAGATTACAGGTACACCTTGCTGCCAAGTGCCAAATAGCACGAAACCCGACTCCAGAGTTTCCTGTTGACTACCTCCAACCACTATTTACTTATGGTTGTTTTACTTGTATCTTCCCATTGTTATTTAGGAATGTAATTGATCCGTCTCATGTTAGCAATATATGTGCAACCTATTCGGATTGTCTCTAGATAGCCTTAAGTCATAAGCTTTTTAAGCAAAAATGGATAACAGCTAGCAATGGAGTCTAGAACAGAGTGAACATCAACAAGTCTAGGATGCAGGTACATTCAGCTGATGAGTCCCAAATAGAACGAAATGCGCGTTTCAAATTCAGACAATAGTTATAATTAGTAGTTGTTGATATTAACATTGATATTATCTTACTTCTTCTGTTTTCAGTTATATCATTTGGGATATTGACTAATTCTTTACGAAGTATATCATCTATGTTTAATTATAATCATCGATACTAAATCTATCAATCTGGGATTTGTCTTGATAATTTCACTTTATTTAGGTGACTGATAATAAGTAACAACTTTAGTTGATGTACAAATGAACCGGGTCTTGTTAATGACTAATTAAAATTAAATTTACATATTTTTTATCAGAATGGGGGGTTTGTGAAGATTATAGTGATAGAAAAGTTAAATTCGTGGGCTGATTAAAGTTAGACCACCATGGAAAATCTGGAAGTACTGGAAGACGGTCTCGTCCTATTATAGGACTCCTCAGTAGTGCACATCCACGATCCGGCTCACGGGATTCAAACCCAGAACCTCCGGTCTCGCGCGCTAACCCTTAACCAGTGGAGTTCAACCGTGTCTTTTGTGAGGCAGTGACTCACTGAAGACAATGATAGACGGTGGTGAAATTTCGTGGATTAGTTGAAGTTAGACGTTTATACCGTTGGTGGTCTAGGGGTTAAGAGTTCACACACAATACTAAATGTCCTGGGTTCCAGTCCAATGTGTAGGATCGTGAATGAGAACTGGTGAAGAGTCCTATAATAGGACGAAACAGCCGCTCGAAGCTTCCAGATTTTCCATTGTGGTTTAGCATCTAAATTACTAGCCTCAATAATTATCGGACGCTTAACAAAGACTCATGAACTGAAGACACGAGAAAACCAGGATGAGATCAAACCTAGTCGTGGCTGCATCGACCACATGTTCACCATTCGTCAGGTTCTAGAATACAGTTATGTGTATCGGCATCCGATAATGATGGTTTTTCTCGAATTAAAAGTGGCATTTAACTCTGTGGACCGAGAGGTTCTGTGGCAAAGTCTGTCATTGAAAGGTGTACCTCAGAAGTACATAAACCTTGTGAAGGAACAACACTCGAACACTACCATTCGAGTCAGAGCTTGTGAAGAACTGTCATCTGATTCGGCAACTCCAAGTGGTGTCCGTCAAGGATGTCAACTATCTCCATTTTCGTTCAACTTCATTATAGACGTACTGATGGAAATACCGCTCTCGTCGACTGAATTTTCTTGCATTGATCTCATTCCAGGAACTACACTTATCGACTTAGAATACACAGATAACATAGTCCTGTTTGGCGAAGACTCTGATAAAATACACAGACTTTTGATGGCATGGAGCAACAATGCTAGGATGTTTGAAATGCGTTTCTCCCCCTCTAAATGTAAGATGCCACTGCAGGAATGGCCTGCATCAACATCTAAATTAACGAAAGGGGATGAAGTAGTCGAATGCGTCGATGACTTCACATATCTTTGAAGTCTGATCAGCCTCAATGTGTTGGTGTCTGATGAAATCTCTACACGGATTCGATAATCTCGTCTGAATTTTGCCAATTTACGTCACCTATGGCGAACGTGAGCTATTCGTCTATCAATTAAAGAACGAGTATACTGCACACCAGTTCATTCTGTTCTACTTTACGGCAGCGAAACGTGACCAATAAGAGTACAAGATACTAGTAAGTAACTCGTATTTGATGACGGATGTCTTAGGAATATTGCTCGCATCTGCTAGGATCACCGGATAAGTAATAGTGAGGTTTGACGCAAGGTATTAAGGAATGATGGTAAATCAGTTGATGAAGTTGTGAATCTTCATCGACTGAGATGGTTGGGACGCGTATCAAGCATGTTCAACTACCGAATACTACGGCGCGCAATGTTGACTAGTGTTGGAGACGGTTGGAAGAAAGTTAGGGGCAGACAAACTAAAATATCTCACCAGTCCTTGAAGCCATCAAATTCTGGTCTTAGTCATGTTGGTAGATGCAGACTACTTGATTGGGGTCCATGCGACCATCGTAACCAGTAGTGATTGGAGACTATGGGTGACATGGCTCAGAATCGATCACAATGGCGTCGGTTTATACACTCTCTGTCTACCTTAAAACTATGCGATTAAAGTCGCTTCATATCTTTGTTTCTATAAACGAATTCTTTCTTCCTGTACTATATCCTTATACACAATCTTTCTTTTATATATTACTACCATTGAATTAACTTCTCCTATGAATTTGGTGTTCATCTTATTGTGTTAATGTGGTATGGTAACTTGAACCTGGTCTTACGTTGTATCCGACTGATTGTATTCTCATAATCCCTATTTCACGTAATAAATTAATCCGTCATCCATATTAACTCTCAATTGGTTAAATGTAAACTTCTATCTTTTTTGGTCAATTTTGTTCTCTTCTTTTAAACATTGTAAGAGAATAAACTGAACTATTATTCCCGTTTTTTTGTTCTTGATTATAACACGCATTGAAAGTATTCAAATAACTGTTGAAACCCTGGAATCACTAGACAATTGTTTTTGTTTTCTATCATAGGAGACTTTAATCAAGTGTATCCCCTACCTTTATCAATAATTGAATCTGATACATTTAAGTACTGCGTGTTAGCTTATAACCTGTTAAATATTGATTATCTATTTGATTGTCTATCGAAAAATCAATACACAATGTAATCACGAAAATCATTCTATAGTAATATGATTTAATATCAGAAGGGGTATCATGGAGATTGTAGTAATTTCAGTTGTTGAGATCATGAGTCAATTGAAACTAGATCACCATGAGAAACCTGGAAGCACTGAACGGCGGTTTTGTGCTATTGTGGGACTCCTCAGCAGATGTACATTCTTCAAGATGTATATCTTGGAGTTCTAGTGAGAAGTAATGACCAGTGGAGTTCAAATGGGTCTGTTGTGAGATAATAACTAGCTGATGAAAATGGTGGATGTGTCGCTCAATTTCTTGGATGAGTTGAAATTAGACATCAAAACCGTTGGATACCAGCCGGTTCAGTGGTCTAGTGGTTAATTGCTCGCGCGCGAGACTGGTGGGTCCTGTGTTTGGGTTCAGAGAGGTGGGATCGTGGTTCTGTACTGCTGAGGAGTTCCACAATAGGATGAAACGGCCGTCCAATGCTTTCACGTTTCCCATGGTGGTCTACCGTCAATTGACTCATGATTTCAATCTGTGATATAATGATGTGTTAAAATTAACAATAGAAACAGATATCTTGTTGAAATATTTAGATGTCAGGAATATGTAGCCTGCAGGCTGTCAAAGTTTAGTGTACAACAATAAGCTATCATAACTCCATTAGGCATGTCTATAATTGAATCAAAGCTAGACAATTTCTTGAAAAGTTTATTATTAATTACTTCAGGTAGTTTCCTCTTATTGTACTCCACATATTGTTTCTATCTCTATTTATTTATTTACTTAAACACATAAAATATTGATACAAAGAGGCATCAAATAGATATGCGACACATAAATCATTCGATTTGTGTGAGGTCTGGGATAGTATTCGGGTGCTTAAACTGAAATAGGTGGTTTTCTTAGGGGTCCACACTCAGGGCCTTTGACCTAAAGGTCTAATCCACAAGGTAGTGGAAAAACGTCTGGAGATGCAGTCCCATGGTAGCCGGTGACCAATAATTGCTTCATACGCTATTTATTCCTTCAGAATACTGGATCCCATGTGACTATTGTTTTGGAATGAGGGTTTTACAACTCCCCTAGGTGAAATCTCCGTGTCCACCAACCCGGTTAAAGCACCGGACATTCACTTTTCATCCTCTCAATTTCGTAAACAACACCCGTGGTGTGAGAAGGCAGTAGTTGTATACACGTGGCCATATGAAAGCATTTCGAGAGTGAGAGCTGTCTTTCCCCACTGTAGGCCATACCAGAGCATTTAAGTGTACTGCTATTCACCAAAATAATTTACAACCTGATCAATTGGTGATATTAAGATGTTTCTTTTCATAAAAAAAGACAATAGATAATTCATCTGTGGTAATATTGTTTTCATGTGTCTTGTACACTATGAAAGATTGTCCTTGAATAAAGATGTAGAATAGTTAAAAGTACTTTATAATTTTGATTTAGTACTTGATTCAATCAAATTAGGCAATCACAAGACTGTTTAATGATTATCCATTTTTGAAATATCATTCAGTACATAACCAATAATGTTTATCTTACAAAATGCACTGTATATTCGTGGTTATTAGTCCGTCAGTCAG